AGTAGTTTGTTTTTGTCTATGACACGAACGAACTTATTCTTTTGTGTTGCACAGAATTGTGCATATTACATGCTCAATGAATGTTAGAATAAGAATGGTGTTTCTTGAATAATGTATGATACTATGAATGATTCAAGATGTATGATGTTATGAATGTTTTAAGATGTACGGTGCTATGAATGTACATATGGACCGTAAATAATAGTAGAATTTTACTCTATGAAAAGTATGAGGTTAAGTCAAAGACAATTTCATAGAAAATTGATGAAAATGCGTTAAAACGCAAAATAAGATTGAAATTACTGTCATGCTGAGAAAAGATGACAGTAAAATGACGTATAAAGAAATCATGATAAATTGCTCAAAATGCACAAAGTCATAAGATTTAACTAAAGTTACCGTTTCAATGAGAAAATTGATAAACGGTAAGAGACTAAACATCCTGTTTGTACCAGCCTTCGAAGGAAAGGTTATTATGAGACTATGAAAGAAATGAAACCGTGACTGAGTTGGATTGGTTAGCTACCCCACTCCTCACTGGTTATGCATGCTATGGTACAACAGGACAGGGCCCATAAGAAGTAAAAGACAAGAAAACAAAAAACAGAAATCGTTCCATATAGGGGTACGGTATCTGTAAATAAGAAAGAAAAGAGAGAAACACAATATGAAAGTCGTTTAGAACGTGAAAATACAATGTGAACGACTAAAAAGAGACAAAAATTGAACAAAGTACATAATGAAAGAAGAAGAACATAAGCGATATACGTTATAGAAGTACAGAATGTCTTAGGATATATGACATGAATGAATATATGGGTATGCATTATTGTATGTTTTTACTATAGCCTACTGTTACTTGCTGAGCGAAAGCTCATTACGTTTGTTCGTGTTGTAGGAAGCTCGAGTAAGACACCGGCTCTATGAAACCCGTATGCTGGGCGTGCAGAAAATGATGAAGCAGTAGGATGTGGGCAAGTGGGTAATGGGATCTACACGAAATTGGTAAACGCTGCAAAGTGTTTTAAGTAGACCATATTTATAGATATGGTTAGGTTATGTAATGCAAGTAAAGATCACGGAACTATAAGGTTATGCATAGCAACCTCTAGTCACAAGGTACGATTAATGTAACAAAATGCTACGGCATTTAGACTTATGAATGGAAAAAAAATTAGCCTGAATTCTTAAGAGGCTATAATTAGAAAGTAGTAGAGGTTAAGTAATGCTAAGTATGAACGTATGATGATGATCAAAAGTTAGGGTCGTCACACCAGGTATATCTCATTTTATCTACTCGTAGATGAAAACTTACACGATAAACTGCTATTTTCCTCAAATAGCTTTAAAATTTGCTATTTACTTCAATTATTTTCTACAAATCTGTTGGTTCCTTCATTCTCCCTTGATTTAATGAGACGAACACGTCATTTTCTAATACTTGACCAAAAACTTTATCTCTAAGAAAAAAATTAAGTACACTATAAATAGTAATCACAAAACGTTGAAACTTCACGAATAAACCACCACCAACAACAACACTCTTTGTCCAAGATATAGTATACTCGTTTGCAATATCCAAATGGAAAATCCATTTCCATTATCATCTCTCCTTTTCATCACTCTTCTTCTCTTCATACTAATGATGATGCTTAAAACAACAAAACATAAGGAGAGATCCCAAGCCCCTCGTTTACCACCAGGGCCATCCAAGCTTCCTTTAAAGGAGAGATCCCAAAAATTTTAAAGCTTTTTAGCGACGGCAATTTTGAAATTGTGTCGTTATAACTTTTGATAACGTCATATTACATTAAATCGTTGTCACCACTAATAGTGACAACGTGTCTTGGCTAAAACTTAGCGACAGTAAATGTTGTCGCTAAAAAATTTATTGCAACAGAGTTTTAGTGACGACTTTTTAGCGACTACTTATTGTCACTAAAAATATTTTAGGAATGACTTAAGTACTTTTAGCGACCACATGAATGGCCTTTTCTTGTAGTGAATTTGATTAGAAATCTGTACAATCAGTCTTTTACATAGTTCTCTTCTCCGCCTACAAGACTTAGCCTATCTCGACAACAGTCTTGATCCCCACCAAACATCAGTATGGGGACTAGGTAAAAGACAGGGGGAATCAATAGGATGTTTTTGCAAAGTTTTGTACCAAAACTAGGCTAGATTATCATTTTTACAATTATGAG